TGCAGAGAATCATTTCCAGGCAATAGGGCCAGAAGCCTTCCATCAAGGAACCAGCCTCGTGTACACTTCAGAGTTGCTTGTACCAGTGATTGCTGTGTCTCCTTTTCCTCCACTCTTTGAATTGCATTGATTTCATCTTTATTGTCAGTGTATGTTGGGTGTGTGGTATGCAGATACCTTTTCATTTTAGCTTACAGGTCTTCTTATAAAGAGAAATTATGGGCCTCCCTGTTGGCGCAAGGGGGTAAGCACCACACTATGAAGCTATCCACAGCTTCTGAGGTAAGAGTTCCATCTCTGGCCGGCCAGGGAGCAACCCACATGGCGCAGCAGACCTCTCCTGACTCGCCTGCTGTTCCCCTCAGCAGTGTATTTCAGTCAGTCTGCCTGTTCTGTTCCCCACTCTGTCTCTGGTGAGTCCTTCTCCCTCCCCCCCCCCACATCTCTGGCCTGTACCCCAGCTCTTGCATAAATAAATGAATGCATAAATAAATAAATCTTAAAAAAAGAGAAATTGTAATAAAAGCTAGTATTTCCTTGGCACTTGAAATTTATTATTTTTTTTTAAGATTTATTTTATTTATTTACGCATTCCAGAAATGGAATGTAGGCCAGACGTGCAGGGGGTAAGAGGATTCACAAGAGTCAGAGTGGGGAACAGAACAGGCAGACTGACTGAAATACACTGCTGAGGGGAGCAGCGGGCGAGACAGGAGAGGTCTGCTGAACCGTGTGGGTTAGGTCCTTGACTGAGGATCAAACTCATGCTTCAGTGGTTGCTGATAGCTTGATAGCACTAAGGCTTAACCCACAGGCCACCAGGGGGGCCCTGAACCTTATTTAGATGGCATAACCTGGACATCAAAATTGAGCTCAATGCCAGAATGAGATGAGATTTTTGGACTGAGTGTATTTCGCCTTACAGAGTAATGTAAATAATTTGTGTCCAGAGAAGGAACCATTACTGACTAAAAATGGTTACAAATTATTTGAAACTATTCCTATTGAGAGGTGGTATCTCTGTTAATCCTAAACCCCTTAATTCCCAGGGACTCCATGGCTATAACCCATGGATTATGGAGAGAGTGACCTTGCCATCTTCTGGCCCCACATCTGAAGACTTCCTCAGTCTTGGACACCCTCTCCGGGAGCTCTGAGTTGCCTTGGAAGATCCTCAGCTTTTGAGGACTTTCTCAAAAAATTCTCCCTGATTTCCTAGATCAGTTGCTTTGTTACAGTAGATTCCCCCACAGAGCTGTATTATTTTTTTTTCAGAGTAATTATCCTTGATTATTTCATTAATGTCATCCATCTACCTGTGGATAGTAAACGCCATGAGAACAGAGAGCAAGGCTCCAGCAATGTGTCTGTACATAGTAAGTGTGAATAAATATTTGTTAAGCACATGAATGAAATATTTGATGCAGCTGATAAGTGCTCCCTCCTCACCATAGTCTGTAATAACTGTACCACTATTCTCCTCTCTTACTCACTGTGAACATTTGGATTCAAAGTCATTGTAGCTGGGAAAAGACAGGAGGACTTAAAATTTGACCACTACTCCTGCTTTGCTACTGTCTGTGAAAACACAGTTGCTGTGCACCATCAAAGTCGCTGAAGTTCCTTTGGTAGCTCTTGTGCAGGGGAGAGGGAAAGGGGAAGATTGCTTCTTGGCATGTGTGGGCACAGGAGTACAGAGAAAAAATTCAGTGCCATTCACACTATGTCTTTGGTGAAAATCAAGCAGCTTAACTGAGAAGCTGAAGAACGTCGTGGGGGTTCAGATTATTTAAGTTTTCTTCTAAATTTAGGTTTAGAGGACCTCCCTGGTGGCGCAAGGGGTTAAGCACTGCACTGTGAAGCAATCTGCAGCCTCTGCAGCACGAGTTTGATCCTGGGCCTACCAAGGAGCAACCCACATGGTGCAACAGACCTCTCCCGCCTTGCTCCCCTCAGCAGTGTATTTCAGTCAGTCTTCCTGTTCTGTTCCCCACTCTGCCTCTGGTGAATCCTCTCACCCTCCCTCCTCTGCACCTCTGGCCTGTACACCAACTCTTGTATGCATAAATAAATAAATCTTAAAAAAAAATAAATTTAGGTTTAGAAGTAATTTCTTATTAGATTGTGAACTTTTTTTTTTTTTTTTACCCTACTCCTCATCTAAATCTGCAGGAAAAAAATACCTGCACATGAACTCTAATGTCTAGGTAAAGATTCCATATCTTCTGGAACCACTATTCCAAGAATTGTTTTCTTATTTTCTAATTGCATTATATTATTAAAAAATGCATTTCCCTTCTTATTTAGACCCGTGGATGTAGAAAATAGATGATTCATAGAAATAGTCTTTCTTAAAGTTTTCTGCATGCTAAGTCTACAGTCTTTTTTTTTTTTTGCTGTAAGTGAAAACAATCCATGTCTTTATAAATGTCCTTATCATTTCCATTTCATAATTTAAAAAAGTATTTTTTTAACCACCGTCTAGTTCTCTGAACAGTAGTATCCAAATGGGTACATGTATAGTGTTTCATGAAATGGGTTCCTTTCTCCAGTGGGAGAAAGGAAGCTCTCTATTTACCATACTATCCTTTCTCTTTTAAAAAGAAAACTCTCCCAGAATGGCAGGGTTACTGTGCACACAGCCATATTCCACATCATTTTCAGGAGTTCACATATTCTGGGACTTTGCCCATCTCCATGTCTCTGATTTGCCCTCCCTCCCTAAGTGTACAATACCGCACTTGTCCCTTTTGAACATGTAGCAGATTAAAGAGTTGGGCAGGAGGCAGATGTAGGCACACCTTTGATCTCTCATCCTTGGGGGTTAAGGGAGGGCAGACACCTGGCGGCTGCTGAGTTGGAAACAAAAAACAGGCCGGGACTGGAATTACCTTAAAAGGAGTCGCAGCTCCAGCCAAAGAGGCAGCTGGATGCACTGAATGGGCGAGAGGGAGGGAGAGTCAACGGTTGGGCAGAGGATGCAGCAGAACCCAACAATGGTTCAGCCTAACTGGGAGTTGGATAGCATGACCATTCCTTAGGTAGAGAACTGGAAAGAGCAGGCAATTATCTTGAAAGAAAACGAAAAGCAATACCTTTGCAAATAATATCGCAAAATGTTCCGCTGTGCTCAGATGCAATTATGAGAGTGATTCAGGAAACTTTCAAAGAAAGGATTTCTACACTTTTTCTTCCTTAGCAACCTCTTAGGAATACCACCTTTGCAACACGATGCGGTGCATGTTTTTAATTAAAAGGAGACCTACAGAGCAGTTCCTCTGATTTTTCAGTGGGACTGCATTGCCCCCTGGCGTTTGCATGCTGCTTTGCACCATAACATACAAAGTTCAAAGCATCCAATCAATGTTGCGCAAGGATGCAGCTTCTAGCCTTAATCTGACATACAATTTTAAACTTCAAATATAGAACTCATCTGACAAGTTATGGAATGAAATTTTGATATGCAGAATCTTCCCGCCTCTCCCCTCAGTAGAATCTCCTGAGATTTTCAAGTAGCCCGAAAAGGAAATCTAATTAGAAATCAGTCTGATCTGTCAAATTTTAATTATATACAATAATAAATGGTCATGGGAGGGGCTGCTGGTACACTTTTCCATTTATCAGAACCAGCTCAAAATATCTCCTGCACTGAAAAACCTTTCCTGACTTCTCTGCATTTGATGACTCATTCAGCCTTCATGCTTATCTCACTGCTGGAAACTTGAAAGTGGACCTTATACCTGATTTACCTTTGCATCCACCGTGAGCAACACAGTGCCTGGAAGATGGTATGTGTTCAACAAAAATGTGTTGCTTTCTGGTTGCATATAATGTGCTGTTCACAAAAGGATCAAATATGCACCTTATTCAAGTGAAAGTCAATATGGTAACAGAGCTGGAGGGAGGATAACATGATCTTGGAGGAGACTCGGGAGTCACTGACCCCCTGAAACTGTGCAGGCACCATGTCCAAATGCTGAACACCCTAAAACTGAAATACCTTTAGTCTAATAAGCTAGGAACTTTTGAAGCTACTCAAACTCTATCTTCCACTTCTTCTCTAAATGAACCCCTGCTCCCTCAGCAACTCAATTACAAATTTCTTTGGGATGGATATTTCTAAGAGTAAGTGTAAAGCTTCTGACTGGGGTTGTTGCAGATACTGTGGCAAATTGACTTCAGGTCATTAACCCTGAGCTGAGTAACAAGTGAGTATGAAACACTGGGGTTTATAATGATAGATGTGTATTGAGGGACAGACTGTAAAGGAACTTAAATTATGAATCGAGGGTTAGCCTCACTTATGTTTAATGTGGACAGTGTTATTCTGCCTGCTTAGGATATCATCTTAGGACAGAAGAAATGACCAGATCTGAAGAATCTGTTGAATTAGGATGGGTCAAGAGGCTGATATGATTAGCAAGATTACTTTTTTATTTATAATTTTCTAATTCTTATTTATTTTAGTTTTGCATAGAAGAAACGGGGTATAGGCCAGAGGTGTTTGTGTGTGTGTGGGGGGAGTAAAAGGATTCACCTGACAGAATGGGGGGCAGAACAGGTGGATCTACTGAAACACACTGCTGAGGGGAGCAGCAGGCGAAACTGAGAACGTCTGCTGTGCCATGTGGGTTAGCTCCCTGGCTGGGGATTGAAATCATAAAGGTGATAGCACTGAGACTTAACCCCCAGACCACCAAGGAGGCCCAAATATTGCTTTTTAGATACAATATTGATAAGAGCTTCTTGAAGTCATTTGCTATGTTTTCATTGAATTAGAACAAAACTTTTCAAGAAGAAGGCTGGACACTATGTTCTTATGAACTTGAATTTGAAACCAAACTGAATATGCACAAATATTGACCATAGCACTTACCAAGCATTTGATCTTGGAAAAGTCACTAAATTTTCTGTATTTCAGTTTTTCCCATGGTCAAAATGAGGATGCTACTAGTTACTATCTCTCTTCTACCTAGTAAAAATTCTTTTTTTTTTTGGTCCAGGGGAGAGCACAAATATAGTTCCCACTACCACAAATTATGCGGTGGAGTTTCCCGAATTTAGGGAAATCACGGTGGTCAGAATTCCCGAGGTGCAATGGGATATAGCCTTGCCCTGGGAAACCACCTTTGTGATCCTGCTGGTTCCCCTGCCAGGCAAGTAGGGTACTTCGGAAAGGTTCTGTAAGTACTTGTTATTGAACACTTACCATGTGTGTGTTTCTCACTGTGGTAGACTAAGGGTAATAAAAAAAATTCTGGATTGTTGAAAGAGGTTCTTTGTTGAATTCATTCTCAGAGACATTATGAAAACCTCCCAATACAAGGTATGTTCCAGGTAGGGGGTTTCTCCAGTGCTAGTCTTATTGTTGAGGCTGGCCCCAGTGCAAACATGGAGTTAAGCACATTTCTGACTCCTGCAGACTAACATAACTGGATGTCAGAGGGCATGTAGGAGCCTGAGAGGGCCCATCCTTGTTTCATTCCAGTACAGAGCTCCACCCTCAGGGCTAGCGCAGTGCCTGAATGGCCACTAGGAGTAGGGGTCATGGGTAGTCCTGTTCCCTTGAATGAATACACAACCATGGCATCAAATGATTCTGAGCTCAGAAATTTGAGAATATACTTCCCCACCCTTCCCCTTGAACTCCTTTACCTACCTAAAAGTAGAGCTTTCCAAAAGAACTCAACTGTCATAAATTTACTCCCCAGGAGTTTCTGCAACCAGGGAAATGTTACTATATCTTTTTTTTTAACTTATGTTATCATATCTAAACAGACTGTGCCACGGAACTGTCATATCTCTCATCTATTGTCCTAAGAGTACCTTTATTTTAGCTAAATGTCACTTGGAAGTGGCTTTCTCTCCCTCCCCTTTTATTAAGCTGGTACATAAGTCTCATATTATAACTGCCCCCAAGTCATCTTTTTTTTTTGAAAGATTTATTTATTTATTTATACAAGCACTGGGTACAGTCAGAAGCATGGGCAGGTGAGAGAATCCACTAGAGCCAGAGCAGGGAGCAGAGCAGGCAGAAGGACCGAAGTACATTGCTGAGCGGAGCAGCGGGCGGCAGGAGAGGTCTGCGCTGCCATGTGGGACCCTCCTCCGGTGGCCGGGGAGCAGCCAGGGATCGAACAGGCGCTGCAGAGGCTGCGGGCAGCTTCACAACCCAGCGCTCAACCTCTGCGCCACCGGGGAGGCCCCCAAGTCATCTTTTTATGTGAACTTATATATATATATATTATGAATATATATATTCATCTCCTCTTGAAAAATAATGTATATTTTCAGATTCCCACAGGATGTATAATTTTGCACCATTGTTTGCAAAACTCCAATATATATATGAACTCCTATATATATATGAATAAGAATCTATCTTTGTTCTTGTTGATCTATCTTATGTCAGTTCAATTTACAGGTTTCAGTAAAATAACTTGAGAGGATAGAGGGAAAGTTTTACTTCCCAGATACTTTCCCATATGACTTTGGCCAAACATTGGACTCCACTATGCTAAGTCTTTAATCTGTTCCTCAGAACTAGTTTGGCATGTTGCACCAGGAAATCCTGTTTAAGAAACTGTGGCAAACTTAAACCTGTCAAAAATCAGAAATAGAACATTCTATGTTCTACCATATATTTGGTATGTTAATATTTATAGAGCATTTTTGAACACTGGCTGACAAATACTGATAATACATAGTGTTTGTTAAATAGAAATAAATATTCACTAAACATACAATTCCAATCTTTAAGATAAGACAACACAGTATTAGGATTACCAAATCCTCTAAATATTTTCTTAGTTTGCACTGCATCTTTAAATTTTTGCATATGTATGATGAAAAAAGTAGACACTATTAAGCAAGCTAAAACTTATTCTTGAAATAAGATAAAGTGAGATCCTTTTGCCTTTTGAAGTGTAACTTGGAATGGCATTTTGAATGTGTGCAAGTCATATTAAGGCTTACACAAAATGGAATACAGTGGATGACTAGAGAGATAAATGGGAGTAATAGCCACAAACAATGGTGCAAAATTATACATCCTGTGGGAATCTGGAAATATATATTATTCTTCAAGAGGAGATGAAACTTATAAAATTGGACCCTCTAATGAGATTTTGAAAGGCATGTAATTATCAAGTTGCTGAATGGGCTGGCAGGACACACTCTGGCTTCCTGGGAATTCCACTGCATACCAAGCAAACCTGGCAACTAATAACTTCCTGAACAGCTGTTTCTTCCATTTATGCTCCAAATTACTTTTTTGTGACTTGTCAGCTAAATCTTTACATGAGTGAGATATTCTCCCTGAAGAAAGCAATTCATCTAAGAGGTTTACATTTTCATTTGGCAAATGATTTCCAAAAATGTTGACTCTCATTCTCTAAGCCTAAAGCCAAAATTCAGGGCATAATTTCTACAAGTGCAATCAAGCATGACACTGAGTTATGCTTAGGAGAAAATATTAAATAATTTCTATCCCAATGTCTCTAAATGTAAATAACAATTCTGATTATACATCCTTGTAACAAGCATATCCTGAAATTAGTATCTGACAGCTATCAGGTAAGTGAAATGGTCGCTGTATTAAATTTTTCATAACTAAGGTCATTGATATGAAGGTCAAGTAATTAGGCTTTTTTTTTTTTTTTAAAGAACATCTGAAAGGTTAAGCTGTTTGAACCTTGGCTGAAAGCTTTTGACAGTCTACTGTTGTTTTTGCTGAACTCTCATACTCCTTTACATAATGGACAATATTCTGGATTATCATGACTTGTTTTGTCTTGGGTCACTCTCACACTGTCTTCTTCCTCCCTGCTCCCCCCTCCCCAGTCTCTCTGTTCCAGTTCTACTAGGTTTCTTTTAGTTCACTTTGCCCTTTGCTCTTTGCTGTTTCTTCACCTGGAATCAAAGGAAGATTTCCTTGAGGAAAGAGACAATCAATTTTCCTTGAGCACACACTTCATGGTTATTTTGGACCCTAATACTCATTTTCCCCCCTTTCTTTATAGCACTTGTAACCATACATAAACATTTCAAAGTAAAAAAGTCTCAGATTATCTTCTCTTTGAAATCAGGGTAGAGCCTGCTGTTGTGTTCTCAGGAGCAGCCAGTGCCTAGTACACAGTATGTGCTCAGTTAATGCTTGTTATGTAAGGGGAGGAATTCTTTTTTTTTTTTTTTTTTAATAGAGGCATGCTTTATTTATTTATTTTATTTGTTTGTTTGTTTTGTTTATACATGCACTGGGTACAGTCAGAAGCGCGGGAGGGTGAGAGAATTCACCAGAGCCAGAGTGGGGAGCAGAGCAGGCAGAAGGACCGAAGTACACTGCTGAGGGGAGCAGTGGGCGGCAGGAGAGGTCTGCGCGCCATGTGGGACCCTCCTCCGGTGGCCGGGGAGCAGCCGGGGATCGAACCGGCGCCACAGAGGCCGCAGGCAGCTTCGCAACCCAGCGCTCAACCGCTGCGCCACCGGGGAGGCCCAGGAATTCTTAATTCTCTCTGACTCTTGAATTGGCAATCCTTGCTTTCCAACTTGACTGTAGTTGAGTAGAAATGATAACCATGTTATGGAAACTAAGTTTTCTTCATAAAGGCAAAAATCAGATTTTGAACTTGAACTCTCTAAAAACCAACACCCTAAGCAAATATTTTCTCCCACACATACTCATGCATAGATAATGGACTATAGTCTGTAAAAGAATGTAAGTCTTAATAAAGTAAGTCTTAATGAAGTAATTCTATTTTCCATTTTTCAGGATCTGTTTTAAAGAAATAACCGTAAGTGTTTTTATCCTTACTTCCATACTGTGTATTCCCAGCAAAGCAACAAGAATAATCCTTCAATAACCAGGATCCATTTGCTAAACCCAGAAATATCTCCTATTTCACTTACAGAATCCAAATCATTCCAGTTGTCAGCAAAGCCCTTCACAGTTTCTGTTATTTATGAATTTGACGTTTTTTGTCTTCGGAATTGTCTACAATGAGGTATATTTTGTTCAGGATAAAAATATGAATTTGACATTCAGTCAGCAGCTTGGGAAATTTAACGTTTTGATTTTTTTTCTAATAAAAATAATAAATTCTGAAGATTCTAGATTTTTCCAGAATTTTTATTGGGCAAAAAAATGTCATTTATTCAACTCATTGATGATTTGAGAGATACACAAATTATCAAAAATTTGCAAGAGTAAAATCAGTGTTACATGGGAATAAGTTATTACTATCATTTCTCCACTTTAAACTACTATCATTTCTCCACTTTAAACTACAATCCCTGCTTTAAAACACAAGCAGGGATCCTCTGCTTACTCTGCCAGGGGCTGGAGACAACCAAGTATATGTGTTTTTGAAGATGGATGTTAGTTGAGCCTGTGGTGGTAGTTATTTCACAATGTATGTAAATCAAACCATTATGCTGTATGCCTTGAACACATATAGTGACATATGTCAATTATTTCTCAATAATACTAGAATAATAACAGCAGAAGCAGCAGCAAAAATAATAATAAAGAATTTACTCATGGACTTCTACCTTTCTATCCTTAAAAATTAATAAGAACTAAGTAATACAAAGGTATCTATAAGACTTTGAGATCACTTGAAACTAAATACTAGTTCTTATTCTGTATTCCTTTTGAAGTCATCATGTTCTCATTTTCTTGGCTTAATATCAGTGGCTTATCAATATTATGGCAGCCTCACCTCCTACATCAGGGCAGGTTAAATGCAGTGACGCTGGGAGGTATCTACTTCAAGCCCACCCCTTTTCTGTAGCTCCTGCTTCTTCACTGTCTTCCTGGTGGGGTCTCATACCTGTTTTCTACTCTTGCTCCCCAATGGCATGCCTATGGACACCCCATAGCAAGTCCTATGTCCTCTTCCTTGAATCTATCTGTATTCCAGTGGATCTTTCTGTCTTCATTCTTTTTCCTCTTTAATTTATTTTCCTCATATAACTTTTCTAAGATAACATATTACTTCCTACCTAAGAAAATGTAATAGTACTTGCTGCCTAAAGATAAAGTTTAAGGTGATTCTCAGTTGAGATCCAACCTCTTCTTCCATCACCTCCCCTGTGTACCATGTTCTTTGGCATCACTCTTTCCTCACCACACCATGTACTTCTGTGCCTCTCCTCTTCTGCATG